CTCTGCTGGAGATTCCCTATTTAACTATCTTCACCTACTTCTAAAACCATTTTTATCGTTCTGCATTTTTTTCTGTCATGTGGTTGGGTTCTAGCAGTGGTTAATTCATCCTTGAGAGAGGGGGTTGTTCTGGCTTCCCCTAACGAGGCTTTGGTTTGGCCCTCCTCAAGAAGCTATTGCTGGATCTCACCATACTGGACAATTTTCATCCAGGATCTAATCTCCTAGGGAAGGTTGTGGAGAAGATGGTTGCACAAAAGCTTCAGTGGGCCCTGGATGAAGTGGATTACTTGGATCCTTTTCAGTCAGAATTCAGGCCTGGACATGGGACGGAAACCGCATTGGTCACACTTTTGGATGACCTGTGGCAGGAGCAGGACAGGGTAGTGCATTTATCCTTGCTTTCCTTGACCTCTTAGCGGCCTTTGATACCATCGACCATCGTATCTTTCTGGATCAGCTTTGTGGGTTGGGAGTGAGCGGCACAGTATTGGGCTGGTTCTCTTCCTTCCTATGGGGCCAGTACAGTCAGTATTGATCAGGAGTGAGAGGTCCTGCCCATGGATCCTACTATATGGGATGCCACAGGATTTAGTACTCTCTCCACTCCTATTTAATGTCTACATGAAGCCACTGGGTGAGATCAGTCATCACCATGAGGTGAGGTATTATCAGTATGCTGATGATACCCAATTATACATCTCTGCCCCAGGCAAACTAAGCGATACTGTTGATTCTTGCCCCAGTGCCTAGAGGCTGTGGGGGTCTGGATGGGGAACAACAGGCTTCAACTGAACCCTGACAAGACTGAGTGGCTCTGGGTTTTGGGGCCTTCTGGATCTGGGACTTTATCCTCTTTGGTACTGGATGGGGTGGGACTACCTCAGACAGACCCGGTGCACAATCTGGGGGTTCTTCTAGACACATGACTCCTGCTCAAGGAGCAGGTGGCAGTCATGGCTAGGAAGGCCTTTGCACAGCTTTGTGTTGTGTACGAGTTGTGCCCTTTCCTGGATCACAAGGCTCTACTTACAGTCACTCACACCCAGTCACCTCCAGAGTGGGTTACTGTATGCGCTCTACATGGGGCTGCCCTTGAAGAGTATCTAGAAGCTTCAACTGGTGCAGAATGTGGCTGCTCGGACAGTTATGAATACCCCTAGGATGGCACATGTTACATCTCTGTTCTGTGAGCTGCATTGGCTGCTGGTTTGCTTCCGGGTGCAATTCAAGGTACTGTTTTTGACCTTTAAAGCCCTAGATAGCATGGGGCCAGGCTATTTGAGGGACCACGTCTTCCCAATCACATCTACCATCCCGTCAGGTCCAGCAGGAGGGATACTGTATGTTGCAGGTCCCGTCTGCTAAAGAGTTCCATCTGATAGGACACCGATGGCATGCCTTTTCTGCTGGGTCTCCTGCCCTCTGGAACATCCTTCTCCCCCCACCCCCAAGGTGAGGTTAGCTCCATCCCTGTTAGCCTTTCGGAAGGCCCTGAAAATGTGGCTTTTCCAGCAGCCTTGAGGGTCCCATGGGGAGCCTGTGCGATGGTTGCATTGTGCTTAGATGGATGTTTTTCTCCCGCAATCTTGCTTTCATTTCTATTTTTAAGTTTTTTTAACAGGTGTGACATTTTTTAAAGCGTTGGTTGTACACCGTCCAGAGTTATGTTCAGTGAGATGGGAGGCCATATAAATTTATTAAATAAATAAATAAGTCTTTCACTTCCTTTTTTTCCATATCCATTTCATCACAAGATCCACTCTTTATCAAAAAAATAGCCTGTGCCATGTTCACCACCTTTTACCATGCTTATGTACATCACTAATTCTCTCAATTTTCATTATAAACCATAAAACCAATCATTTTTTTGTATGTATATTCCATTTTTTGTACCAGCATCCTCCTGAGGATGTCAAAAGGCCAGATGCTTGTTGTAACTGAATTATCAAAGGTCCACCTATCTGTATGTGTAAGCGACATCCACACATGTACAAGAGGGCAAGAGGGTGATCACATGATCACAACTGCCATCTTGCCTTTTTTGATCTCTGTGTGGTGCAAGTGTTCCTTTTCTCTGTGTACATATGAATAGACATGTTTAAGCCACCTATTTCAAACAAATCTGTTTCTAAGCAGATGCTAGTTGCTACTCACTTGTTCTTGGGTCTCCAAAATATCCAATCACTTTTTCTGTACTCTTTTGTCTTGTTCCTGTCCATCCATAATAATTATTCCTCCTGAAACTCCCATTTATTCAGAACATCGAACAATTCTTGCCAAAATACATCTCTAGTTCTTTCAGTAGCCCATTTATGGGAGCATTAACATGTAACTATCACCAACCTCTGGATTCTTACTTTCATACTTACCTACAACAATCTAGATAACATCATTTCATATTTATTGACATACACTTTAGATGTTTCATTCATAAATAAATCTCTAAAAATCCAAACTTGAAATATACAATAGTGTGAACTGAACTGGTAGTGACAGATGTAGGAAAGGGTCATAGAGTCTTGATGAGTAGCTCAATAAAAATAAAATATAAAATATAGTCCCTGAGCCACTTGAAACATATTGTCCATCCTTCTTGCTATGAAGCAATAATGGCAAAAGACTATCAGATTATGAGCTTTCTGGATCCACTTGTTGGCCATTTTGTTATGCAGAATGCTAGCTATTGCCCTAATTCAACAGGGCAGTTATTAGAATGTAAGAAGATAGT